ACGTGTTGGTAATGACGGTAGACTGGTACTGATTCTAATCTGCTTGTTTAATTTAGTGAACATGCTATGAGCAATATACAAAGAGAAAAGGAGAGAACTTCAGTTATAAGGAGCCAAGAGAAAGGAAATTTGCTGTCTCTAAAATTTCTCCTGGTTGCAGTATCTATGCAGCTTGAACTAAGGTTCTGTGTCCCATTTAATATGGAAAGTCTATTCTCAAGCCTGAGACAGTGGCCACAGAATATTAAAATGAAAGCTTATGTGGCTGGAATGGTGACTCTATAGCTTGTCAGCCCAGATTTAGTAGAAAGTGAAGAAAATCCAGCAGAATCATTTCAACATCTGTAGGCCTTTTTTCTTTTCTTACCCTACTGCACTAGCTAGGACTTCAAGTACCATGCTGAATAAGAGTGGTAAGAGTGGACATCTTTGCCTGGTTCCCATTCTTAGGGAGAAAGCACCTAGTCTTTCACCATGAAGTATGATGTTCAGGGTAAACTTGTGGTTTTCACTCCTGGCCAAGTATCAAAGAACAAGCTCTCTGAACTGAAAATTTAATGGAGTATAGATATCAGAGTTGGGAGAAACTGTGCCATTTTTGTCTACCTCATGTCTACTGCCCTTCCTCACATAACAATACTTTGATTTCTCCTCAGGGGAAGCCAACCTTCCTCCACCGTTTATACAGTTCTAGTGCAGTGGGCGGGTGAGTCACATCTGGTCAATTCACCTATCCCATCCTCTAGTCCAAGTATTTAGTCCACTAAAATTCAAATATGGGACTTCTTTGGAATTATTAGGCAAAGCTCTCTTTCTACTATACTTAGAGACCAGGGATATCAGGCCATGACTGACATTTGGCCTTCTACCGGTTTTTATAAATAAAGTTTTATTGAAATGCAGCCACACTCATTCATTTACATATTGTCTATGGTTGCTTTTGAGCTACAAGAGCAAAGCTGAATAGCTACCATAGTGTCTACGCAGCCCCCAAAGCTTAAACTACTTACTATCTGGCCCATTACAGAAAAAGTTTCCTGGCTCCTGTTCCTGATAATAAGATGTAAGCCTGGAACAGTTAGGAAGCATATCACCACTACATAGAAAGAACCTCTTGGAAATGAAGCCAACACAAAAGAAGAAACCAACTCCAAATATTATGGAAGCCCCTGGATTCAGATGGGCCAGAACTACTATATCCCAATATTTTTCAGTTATGTAAGCCAATGACTCCAGCTTTTTCTCAGACAAATTTGAATTGGGTTTCCTTCATCTGAATTCGAATTCATCACATGGATCAAAACCATAATGCTCATTATAGAAACACAACTCTAATTTCTTCCTCCATTACATATCCATCAATAATATAAAGACATTTGACTTTTCTTTAGACTAGAATGTCACTGGGTGCTAAAAACTGTAATTTATTTAACAATTAACTAAAACATTGTAAAATCAACTGATTTGGGGTTCAATTACGGTTTTTTTTCCAACCAACCATCCTGAGGTGTTATTGAACAATGCAAGAACAAAAAGGGTGGAAACCAAGATTACCAATGGCTCCAAAAAAAAAAAAAAAGGAAATAAAATACCCAACACTTAATAATCAATCACAGAACAACCGAGCTGTAAGTTTAAAAACAAAAGACAGGTGCTGCCATTAGCATCTCCCTGAAGTAAGGGAAATACTCTAAGATCAGCTAGAGAAAGAGGTTTCTGCTCCCTTACCAAAGCCAAAACTCCCAAGGGGACAGCTTTAACTAATTAGGGAGATGGTGATTAAAGCCGGAGCTGCTAATTGTCTACTGGGTATATACCTCCGGTAATGCTCCCTAGAGGCTCTCAGCAATGGGAGACAAAATCAGGCCTAATATTCCTGCCAATTATACTGTCATCCCATTTCTGTATTTCTCTCTGTCTTTAAGAAACTTAAAAGCACACGGAGGTATGGTTTTCAATGCAAACTCTATGTTGCTAAGAGGAAATAAATTTATATTATGTTTAGAAAACAATTATTTGTGCTTAAACTTGTTTTAATGTGCACATTCTGGAGCAAGGAGATGTCTCTCTCAACAGCACACTTTCCATCTGCAGAGGCCAGATGTTAATCTACGGAAAAACTAAGGTGGTTAGTAAGAAAACCAAGCATATGCAGACAGAAAGCAAATATCAAGTGGTGGGAGAGGGAGGTGGGGAGGCTTAAAACGCAGTGAGTGGAGCAGTTTTAGAACTCCAGCTTATCGGAGGGAAAACACACACACACACACACACACACACACACACACACACACACACACA